TATATGGTTGTTTTTATGCTACATGTCGCCCTCAGTCGTCATGGAGACATCTCCATTGTCATCACGTGATAGTGACCAAACGTTGAAACGGTTCCTGCTGTCATGGAGATGGTTCCAGTCTTCTGAATTTTCACACTTCCCCACGTGACGATAACTAAGATTATCTCCATGACGACTGAGCAAGGTCCATCCACCGACAAAACCTCAAACAACCAGGACTGTGGCTCCGAAATCACTCCCTCGTTTCCTTGTTCACTCGTTCCCTTGTTCACTCGTTCACTCCTCCCTCTATCGTAGACACTCAACAGGTAAGTCAGTAGTGAGCAGTAAACTGAAAAACGTATTTATCACAATCCTCTTGTGTCATTGGAACTGCAGAGTCACACATTTGGCCCGTTCATGCACTGACTGTGTAAATGCATTGACAAAAAAGTGCAATAAAATGCTTTCATTCCCACAATTCAATGCTCTATATGTAACAGATTAAAATGTGCAAAATGATAGTGATGATAGAAATCTGAATTTGCTGCTCACTCATTTAACTCCCAAGTGCATCTAACCAACCAATCCGAAGATCGGGGTTCGATCTTTGTCAACTATTGATTCCAGTTTCAACAATACACTTCCATGTTCAATTATTTATTTATTGATTTGTATTTCACAATTATCATATGTTATATTTATATTGTTCTACCCCCTGAAAAACCTCAGTGACGTTCTGGTTTACTCATCAACTGGTTTATTTCTCTTACATGCAGGTGTTTAAATCACTTCTATAATATATCATACAGTGCATGTGATACATGTTCACCAAAAATGTAAAGATGCTTTAAAACAACAACTTACACGTACCTGATAAACAAAGCGAGGAGGAGGCTGACTCCATGTCATCCCTCCTCCTCCTCCTCCTCTGCTTCCTCTCCTCCCGTTTCATTGTGTAAACATGACAGAACCCCCACTCGTTATCTGAATCTGGAGACAGATGGAATTGGTGAGCGTTACAAGTGCAGCACAACAAGACAAGTGGGCAAGCTCGAGTCATTGACGGAACAAATAGGGTTTTGCGAGCGGCTGCCTGGCTGACAAACTCTGGGACCAAGCCCGCTCATGTAGTTGACGTTATTTACTCTGTAATTTAATGACAGAGATTCACGTCCTCCGCGGTTCAGATCTGCAGCGGAGCGGAGCGTTTAGCGTGCCGGGTGTTTGTCTCACCTCTAAGTGAAATGTGCCTCCTGATCATTACGACACTTGCATGTATATATATGTGTGTGTACAATATATATCAGCATAAACGGAGTCTCTCTTGGCTATGTCTCAAATGCAGTTACAATTTGTGCCATCTCATTAGCAAGCCAAGCTAAATAGGATGATGACAAATAGAATATGTTCTGCGTCTCCTTGAAAGTTTGCCAATATAATAATTCTCACTTGTGTTTTATTGGCAAGAGGGGAGAGAATTAGATTAACCTTTAATATTGAACCAAAGCTATAAAATCTAAATGGGGCTTGCTTGGCAAATAGATTTTAACTTATTGATTTCTCATCATTTCTCTCCTCTCTATCATTTAGAAGACGGGAAAAAAAAAAACTCACTCCTCTCAAACATGCAGAGTTTTTCAGATTAGTCTTTCTCCTTGTGTTTTGATTAATGATGATGATTAGAGCGTTTCCATCAATCCAAAGATAAGAGGATTTTCTCATTAAGGGTCACATGCTACAATTCTCAGTGCTAATAGGAAAGGTCTCAGCACAGTCATTTACCTGCTTTCCGCATACTTCATTTCCGTCTTTTATTTAGTTACTGTGAGACCTCAGGACTCGATCGCTGGTAATAATAATTCTTCACTGGGTCGTCTTTCTGCTGTGTTAAAACAACCTGCCTCTAAAACCCAACCAGATCAAATACAATGATAAGCTTATTCTTCATGAGTCTGCCAAATGCACTAGACAACTTTTGAAAGTCTTAATGAAATATCAGTATTTTAGTTTTCGTAGATTAATTAATTAAATAAAATAAATTATTAAATAAGAGATATATGTATGAATATAAAGATGGACGTAGACTCAGGGTGCTTCCTCTCCAGCACTGTGATGTTCAATTTGTAAATTATTGTCCAATTTAGAGTAAAATAGAAATTGAAGCACTGTATACTACCGTCCAATGGGTGCAGGTCGTTTAGAGAAGTAGCACAGTGGTGTGTCTTTGTACATCAATATGCAAGTTATTGATTCACATTAAGAACAGATAAGGCCGATGGGAATGTAAGATGAATTATTTTCAGAGGTTTTTTCTCATTAAGCGATGGTGGTCCAAGATGAGAAGCTAAATAATGACCAAACCCAGTAGGATACAACATCTGGCAGCCACAGCATCATGGGTACATGCATCACCAATGTTCCAGCTCCTTTTAAATGACAGTTCAAAATCTGTTTTGTAGTTTTCTACTGGGTTTACGATTGTATACAAGACATTGTTTGATAGTTGACTATTTCACTATATCAACTTTTACTTTGGTTGAATCAGTGCTTGGATTAAATCAAGACGGTGCCGCACATTGCAGCTAGCCAAAAATCGTGAGTGTGCTAATTCACTTGTTTATGTTTCAGGCTCGGCCTTTGTGATGGTGAACACCTCCGGACGCTTCGCAGGACAGAAGGCCTTACTGCTGACTCCGCAGCTGAAAGAGAACGACACTCACTGCGTCATTTTCAGCTTCTACATCGGAGGTCGAGACAACAGCCACCCAGGCCACCTGAACGTCTACATCAAGGAAAACAACAGTCCGATGGGGATGCCCGTCTGGAACGTGTCGGGTCCGGCGACCCGCTCCTGGGCACAAGTGGAGCTGGCCGTCAGTACCTACTGGCCCAACTTCTACCAGGTGAGGAAATGTGATGTGAATCCAGCTCTCCGGTGCATAATGCCTCTACACAAAACTAGGTTACCCATTGTAAGCAGCTTTTATAGTTAAGCCAAAGTCATTAAAGTCTGTTCTCTGTGTGGAGCAAGACAAATTTATTATTCAAGAGGGTCCAAACAATCGCACAATAGCCCTTTCAAAACACCTACGATTATTGATTTCTGGTGCTAGCTCGGTATCCATGGTAATCTGTTCTCTCTGCCTTCCATTTCAGCCACTTCTCTTCTTTCCAATTCTGAAAACTAATTTTCACTTACCAATGCACATGACTGCTGGCCGGGGTGAGGTGATTTCACACTTGCCTGGCTATTAGTCTTCACCGGGCCTGTTCCACAAGTCCACCAAATGTTAATTGATGCAGAGCAACCCCTTAACCTCCCGATGGGAGACATTCCCTTGGTGAATTATTTCATTATGGCCGGGCAGGGCTGGTCCGCACTGGAGCTGAGGGGTGTCCTCCTGCCTGCTCATCACAGCCACCCTGATAACTTAGTTAACAAGGCACACCGCTGAGTATCTCACTCCTGAATGCAAGATTGGAAGTTTAATGAGAGACATGTGGACAAAAAAAGAAAGAAGAGAGAGCGAGGGGCAGCAGTTGAGGAGGAAGGGAAGAGCTGCACCTTCCAGTAATAGTCACTGCTCACTGTTGACAGGGTGATGACCCTGGTTTGACACAATGATGCAACAGCGAGTCTGGTCAAATGTTTTCAGTTTGCCTGAAGACACTTGAAGCTTGAAGGACTTTGCCTGGAGCGGAGGCACAGCTTGTTACGTCTGGATCCGTCCGACACACAGACGTCTGTGGCTGAAACGAAATTGCAGACACACACAAGACTTAAGTGGTGACTGTCATATACTCTTTTGAAATGAAAAAGCTTCAAATTTGCTCAGCTTTGCTTTGAGAATTCAAAACATGACAAACAAATCTGAACCCTTATAGAAAGCAGCATTTCACTTTTAAATCCAGAGTTGTGTTTTGTAGCTGATGGTTTCCAGTGTGTTCAGGGAAACTCCCAGCATCTGTTGCCTTTCAAACCCCTGCGGACGCTCTGTCTCTGTTTGTAACTGTTCCAGACCCGAACTGACAACACGGGTAACTGCGAGGACGCTAATGATCTCAGCAACGCTCCCAGTCAAGAGGAGAGAGGCCAACGCTTGAAATTGTCACTAATTAACAACATGGCACTAATTATAGGTATCTTTAATTGCATAGTAAGCTACGCAATTGTCAAAGGGAAGCCACCTGATACTTGGAAATTATTTTTTAATTACCACTAAGGCTTTTAGTCATCATGAGCCTTTCAGCCTTTTTGATAATTACTCCTCTGTCAGGTCATCCCTAAAACTTTTAATTGAGACCGGCATTGAGTTTCCGAAACTGAACATTGTGCAAAAAGGATTTCCAGGAAGAATAAAGTCTCTGTACGTCCTGCACATGCTATTGAAAAGGTGTACTTTATGCATAAGATGAAAACCCATAATTTATCGCGATATGCAGCAGCGCCACATTGAGAAAGAAAAACCCTAATGTCCTCATCTATCTTGATTTCAATACAGTACAGCCTATGGCAAAGCTAATCAATCCTGCTGTAATGTAGTACTTAGCCAAGTCCCTCAGGGCGAGCCAGTGTGGTGATGTAGACATTGAATGTTGGGTTCACTGTCTGTCTCTCTCTGACAAATGAGAATGGTGAACTCTCCCTTGACATCAACAGCTTCCGTCCCATGTGAATATTTTCACTCGGTGGGTCAGGCCCAATTATGCGCTGCACTATCACTGATGTTGGAATCAATTATATCACAGCTATTAGGCGGGCTGACTGATGTCTGTTGCACAAACAAAGGATTTCAATTAGAGAGAGGGGGCCAGTTCATTTGTCTGGTGGCGATATATGGAGTGGTTGGCCTTTTAATTTCCTTTAAATTAGCCTGTAATGAGGCCATAATTGGCAACCAAGACATTCACTTTCATATTTCATGAGACAAAAAAAGAAATGTATAATTAGACAGCCTTATCTGAAGGCATCCTGCCTCCCAGATGACAATGGTAACTATCTCTGCCACCACACTCCTGGACTACAAAAGGAATCTCAGATGTTTGGCGTGTGCAGCCGAGCTACAGCTGGCAGGACACAAGTTTCTGGGTGTCACCATGTACGGAATCTATCCATTAATATATACCATTGGCTGGAAGATGTAGGCTTGTATTTAGGGAATAACGGCATGCAGAACATGTGTAGCTGAAGTGTGTGTGGTGTAATGGCTCTCTGCACCACACCCTGGGTTTGGGAAGGGACTGGCATTCTGTTTCCCTTTTTATCACACTGCGGACCGTGGAGTGCATAACTCTGACAGTCTGCCGGGACACGCCCTCCATCGCAGCTTAGGACCATGTGTTTTGCAGGAGAGCTCGTCCCTTAAAATAGGATCATGTTAGTCCTACGCAGCACAGTTGTGCTTGATTTCAGGTTTTCTGGCAACAAACATCTTGAGCAAGTAACACGAGACGCAGAGCAACTGTGAAATGCAACAGGAGTCCCCTCCCATGGAAGAGATGGCTTTTTAGACATGCATCGAAGGGTTAGTTCACTGACATTATGAAGAAGCATATGTTCACACTTACTCCTAGTGGCGTCTAACCATGCAGATAAGTTTAGATCTCTTTCAGGTTTAGAGGATTTCATCTATGAGACTTTTATAGGGACTGTAACATGAATAAAAACTAGTGTCAAATTAAAGTAACCAGAAGCCACGGACACCAGCTGTTCTAATGTAGTAGATTAATGCATCACTAAATATAACAGGTAGCATCACACAAACAAGTTCTAAAATAGAGAGCAGATGTTGTGAAACATTTACTCCCAGTTACTGTCACGTAGCAAATCATAGTAACAGTTAGAAGGAAGTAATGGAATATGTTCGACTTGAATAAACGCATGATGGTGTAAACTGAAGAGATTGCAAATTACATTTCATATACAGCACTAATCATAACAATAATAATAATATCAGACTGAAGGACCACATTACAGGTTAAATTGGTGTACTGGGCTTTTTTCAACCTCATTGTACATAAATTCTTCATAAAATCACATTTCTCTCTCACTGATCTGAGTCTTTCACAGAGATATAT